GAAGAACCTGGTGGATTTTCTGAAAGAGGTCCGCTCGGAGCCCTCCGTGCTGCAGCGGTTTTCCCTTGCAAAAGGCTTTCGAAACCGTCGGCGACCGCAGGCTTGTGGACGGGCGCGCGCGCCGGTCGTTCAGCCGTGGCGACAAGGTGCAGCACGGCAAGCGTTTCGCCCCGCCTTACAGACTGCGCCAGACCGCGCGCGCGGGCAGCGTGGGCATCTCGTCGAGGGCAGGCGCCGTCCGCGGCAGCGCAGACCCATCGGGCTCCTTGGTCGACGGCGCAGTTGGGAGCGCCCTCCTAGCGGTGGTCTCGGGGCGGGTTGCGGGAGCTCTTCCTCGCCTGCACCTCGACGCAAGGACGGGTTGGGAATTGATCGAGTTCAGGCGCTTCCCGGTGCGCGGTGCACTGGCGAAGAGTCGTAGAATTCCGCCGGGAAGTGGTTTGGTTTCGTCGGTGGTCCATCCGTCTCGGCCCCCAGATCTGGCGGCTGGTCTCGGCTGGCGCCGGCCTTGGCAGCGCCTGCTGGCGCTCCGCCGCGCGCGCCCCCCAGGAGCGACTTCGTCGTCGTGGCCCCTTGTGGAACGGCATCTGCCCAGGGTTCCATGCGTCGATCATGGATCTCTTCATGGCATGGGTGTCCGCGGATTCGTCTTGGACCTGTGGTGGCGAGGACGCTGTCGTCGTCGCTGTCGCTGTCGGTGACAGAATCGCTGGGCGCAGAGGCGGAGTCGGCGCCCTGCTCCTGTTCGCCCCCCCCCACCCCCTGCGCGGGCCCTCCGCCGATGCCCAGTTGCGCGCGCGGCGGCCCGTTCCGGGTTGGCGGAGATAGACCGCGCCGGAGGCATCCGTAGACTCCGCCACTGTCGTCGGCTCGCGCGCGGCTTTTCGAAGCCTTGACGCGGTGAGCTTTCTCGGTGAGTGATTTGAGTTTCGACTGGGCAGCGGCGGAGGCGAGGCCAGCGGGCCGCAGGTCAGTCGGGGTTTTCGCCGCGGTCCCCAGGCGCGCGGAGGAGGCGCGACGATGCAGGTGGGTCGGGACCGCTCGGCGAGCACATTTGCAGCGGCCCAGGTGCGCTTGTTGTTTCAGGCGGCGGGGTGGCCGGCACTGCGGCCACCCGCGCGCTGTCGGAGAGCAGCTAGAGTTGTTCTCGTGGATCTGGGCCCCTTGGGGAGCTCGTCTCATATAGTTGCAGCTCGGCTTTCGGCCCGGGGCTTTGGGCTCACCAGCGGGGCCGCTTAACCTCTGCGAAGGATAGGTGCTTAGCCATGCCTGGTTTTGTGGCTCGCTGCGTTTTTGCGGCGTGCCTTTGGCGCAAATGTCACCGCGACGCCCGTTCGCCGCTTGATTGGCGCGTTCGAAAAGCTCGCCAGCGTAGTCGGCAGCGCCGGCCGCGTTCGTGCGAGCGCGGTGGGCTGGCTCGATGGAGTCGCTGAGGGGGCGTTGCTCGTCGCTGCCCCTGGCTGCATAGGCGAGCGGGCGCGCCATGGCCGCCTGATGTCTTCTTGCCAGTGTCTGTCGCCCTGGCAGGGCGAAATCTGCTACCAGCTGTCTGCTTCTGGCGTTCGTTAGCACGTAGTGGGTTCGGGCCTTCCCCGATCCAGGTGTGTTTCGGTCCCAGTTAAGGTCTTGGCCGAAGGCGCAGGACTGTCCGTCTGGGCATCCGACAAGGACATTGATCCACCCCGCGCCGCAGATCTGGGCAAGGAAAATCGAAGATGTGATCTTTTTGGGCCGCCTTTGCAGGGAAAGAATGGAGCCTCCCCAACGCTGTTGGCGGCTTCCCAGGCCTGGTGGAAGAGCGCTGCGTGGTCTGCCTTCGGTCTGGCGCGCACCGACGCCACGAAGATGCATCCAGTTAGCTTGAATCGTTTTGGTAGCGTCGACAAGCGCACGATGCGCGGCAGTGCGCGCCCCTCAATGCATGGCAGCCGTGGATCTGACCTTGTTTTCGGTTCCCCCCGCGACCTTTGCGCTGCGCGTAATTGGCCAAGGGTCCGCCCCCAGACGGGTCGCCGAGCTTCGTTCTCCGGTGACCAGATGTTCCTGTCAAAGTTGCGCATGCAGGCCGCGGGGGGGCGTTTTTTTGTTGAGGGCCATATGGGTCGATCCGCGATGTTCTCGGGGCCCAGTCAAGTCGTTCCAGTTGGCATCGAGGCTGGTGACGTTAATGCCAGCGAGATGGGGCATCTGCGGCGCTGTTCCGTCGGCATAGCTCGGGCATTCCCCGGTCGTTCAGCGGCTCTTCACAGGCGGGCTGGTCCTGGACAGGCACCCAGGCCTTTGGCTTCCACAGCCCGCGCCCTGAGCAGGCCCGAACGTCGGGCACACTTCCAACATAAAGAGCCGAGACATATTAACGGCGGCGGCCAGAGCGAGGAGGAGGGGCGACGCGACGGCAGCGGCACCCAACGCGGCGGCGGCGCTTGCGGTCGATGCTGCGAGGCGAGGCGTCGCCGTCGTCGCCGTCGCACGGCGCAGGGGCCGCCGCGCGGTCAGACACGCGCGGCAGGTCCCACGCTGGGACCCGCCACATCAGAGGCCTCGCTGTCCCCCTTGTCTTGCCGGGCCTCCTTGCTGCCCAGGTGATCGCCCCTCAGCAAGTAGCCCGCGCTGTCGACGTCGGTATCGGAATTCATTGATTGAGACTTGAGATAAGATTCGGATTTAGTTCTTTTCGGCCTCACAATTCCAGGTTGACCCGGGCCGGCCCTTTGCGCCCGCGGCCCCAGTGAACCTGGGATTTGCCGGGGGCGCTTTGCTCGGCAGTCAGGGGCGCCAGTGGGCCGCGTGGCAGGCCGCTTGCCCCTGGCGCGGCGCGGCCAGACAGCGAACGTTGAATTGCTCTCTGGGCTTTCGGAAGAGCGTCCGATGCGGTTCCAGGAGAGCCCTGTGCGGCTATAGCCAGCGGGTCCACTGGCAGATTCGGCGCGCCTGTCGCTGGGTGGAACGATGGCGCCGCCGCCCGGTGCCATGAGCGCGCCCAGCTCGGCCAGGTCGCCTCCCAATTCAAGAAAGCGGCTGCTTGCGCCCCCGCGCGCGGGCGGCGCCTGCGGGACAGGCAGTCTCTCGTTCAGCGGTGACTGGCTGGCTGGGGCCGCTGGAGATCCGAGCTTCAAGCGTTTGCTGGTTGGGGTACCCTGGGCTAGAGGTGGTCGAATCAGGCGCGGCCCTGCGCGCCGCTCTGGCGGCGGCGCCTGCAGGGTGGACCTTGCGCGTGTCGTCGTCGGTGATGAGAGCTGCTGTCTGGCACTTGCAGGGTGAACCCTTCGTCTGGCCTTGCCGCTGCCCGTTGCCCCCGTCGTCCTCGGAGACGAGAGCTGCTGTCTGGCCTTGGTGGCCCGGCCCAGCTAGTCTTTGTGTTCCAGTGTTCCACGTCTTGCATGGTGAGCGGGGCGACCAGCCAGCCAGACTGTCCGTCGTTGCTCGCGCCGACGGGGCCGGCGACCCATGGGTGATCGTTAGTGCGATGCGGGGTGGACTGGTTCTGCGCCCCTGCCATTGCCGTTTGTTGCGTTGCCCGTAGAGGTGGCGTCGGTCGCGGCCTCGATGGTCGACGCTCGCGCTGCGGCTTGCAGTCTCGGCGCTGCACTGGCGGGGGGGGGGGCGGCTTCCGGCCTCGACTTGGCCCCGCGCGTTTTCCCCGTTCGCGCCCCGGGAGATTGGGGCCGCCATTGGGAGCCGCAGTTGTCGGACAGGGCGATAGTGGTTTTGGCTGTTGTTCTGGTGTGCCCTTTCGCGCTTCTTAGGCAGGCGACGTGCAGGGCGCCCGATAAGACGGGATATTCCTTTGCCATTGTTGGATCCAGCGGGAACGTCGGAGATCAGCGATTGCGGGTGGAGGACTGCGTCTTTCCATGCGAGCTCGACCTCCGACCATTTGGCGGCGTTCTGGCGAAGTCCGCGGTGGGTGCGCCGGCGTCAGCGGCCCTTCGCTGACCGAGCTTTTGTAGGCTCCTGGGGCTCCTTGGCGCGACGCCTGGCCCGGGGTTCCCGGGGGTCGAGATCGCGGAGGGCCACTTGGGTGCCGCGGCAGATGAAGCCGCGGAGGTAGGCCTTGTCGACCTAGGCGCAGGAGCCGACCCGCCCCGAGCGCAGCCTCGCGTTTGGCGGGGCACCCCACGCGGAGAATCCGTTGGCGCGCGCAGAGTTTGCAGCGGGGAACAGCGCGGCCAGTTCGCCGGGCGCAAGCAGGTGTTGGGCACCGAAGGGGCAGACCGCAAAGGACTGTTGTGTTTGGGCTGCGCCCATCTGCCAGGCAGCTCGCAATTTGCAATGGCCCGCCTACGCCGCGGGGCATCAGGGCCCCAGCTTTCACGGTGTTCTGGGCTACCACGGAAGGGCCGATGTCCTGCCCCCTGAAGTTGCGCGACCACAGGGGAGCACCGGCGTTGCCGATGTCGGCAAGCCCGACTTTGTCAGTCGCTAGGTGCTTTTTCATTCGCCCTCGACTGCTTGCCTTTAATTCGGAATGGGCCCCAGCAGTGATCGAGTCCGCCATTGCACTACGCCCGTAGACGATGACACCTCGCGGCGGGCACGATCCGTCGCGGGTTTCGCGGCCTTCGGCCGCGTTGCATAGAGGCCATCCTGGCGCGCATGCAGTGCTATGTATTCGGCGAACATCCCAGTGAGACGCACGGTGGGCCCTTTCTGTAGGATCGTGGTGGCGTTCGCCCATGGGCTTGTCCACGCCCTGCTCGTCTTGGCTGCCGTCGACAGCCGAACGTATTAACTCGGTGTACCATCCGGGGCGTATTCCGTCAGGGAAGTGCTGATTGCCCGCGCGCTTCCACGGGGCGAGCTTGCCAATGAGGGCCCTGGTGGGCCCGTCGGGTAGGTCAGGCCCCGCTGGCCCGTGCGAACTGGGGGGCCCGCGCGCACGGGCGCTGCCGACGTTGGGCGCGCCCGTCGCAGCCCAACTTGGGCCGCCGCTCTTTCGGGAACTCTCGTTGGCAGCCATGGCCTGGGCCTTGGCAGCCGGGCCGCAGCAGAGAAGACCGATGGCGTGGTCCGCGGCCGAGACCCGCGATTCGCTGCCGAGTGGCGGCGTAGGCTCCTGCGCTGGCGCCCGCGAGGCCCCCCTCTTCGACCACTTGTTTGGGGGGCGGGGGTGGAGCTGGCGCGCAAGCCGCTGCCCCTGCGCTTCGCCCAGGCTGATGGAGCTTAGTGCGAAACCTTATTCTGCCAACCCTTGAGGGGGGGGCGTCGGGGAGGGCGCCGTTTTCAGAGGCCGTCTTGCGGTTCTTGCGGGCCGGCCACCTTCGGGCAGCTTCGGGGCGCGCGGCCCGCAGGGCCCTGTTTGTTTTGCGCGGTTGTACCGCCGTTGATCTTGCCATCGCAGATGTCCGCAACAAAGTGAACATCCGCGTCGGTGACCTCTGAGGTAACAAGAACCTTGTCGCGGTCGCCCGCCCCATCCTTACCCTTGAGTCTGCGGGCGCGGGGCGGCGCTTCGTCGAGGCAGGATGCGCCCCATCTGACCGGGGGCCGCTGGTGGCCAGGGCGCGTGGGCTTTGCGGCACGTTGACCCGCGTTGATGATCTAGGCACTGGCTCTGGTGTCCCCTGTTCCGACTGGGACTGCCTTGGCTTCGCACATCAGCGCGGCGATGGGGTTTTCTGCTGTCCTCAGCGCTCGCTCGGCCCAGATATGTTTTATATATGTATAATATATATATATATATATATATATATATATATATATATATATATATATATATATATTCCAAGTGGTTGGAGGACCGACCGCCGAGGACGAGAAGGCGGCGAGGCGCAGGCTCGTCGCGACGCAGGTGAACACTTACAACCGGGAGGACGTAACCCAGGCCCCGCCGCCGATCAAGGCGTCCAGGTTGATCGTGAGCATGGCCGCCACGAAGACCATTGCCAAGGGGCAGCACGATTGGTTGATCGGCCGGCACGACATCCGAGCGGCATGCTTCCACGCCGCTGGGTCGGGGAAGGTGGTGATCATTCCGCATCGTGGCCTGGCGCCTCCTGGCGTGGGCTGGGGGGCCCTGAAGGCCTTGCATGGGGCTCGCGAGTCCAGCAAGCGCTGGGGCAACGAAGTCACCGACACCATGAAACTCGAGGGCGCCAGGCAGGTCGTATTGGTGCCCATGATGTTCGGCTCTGACAGCTTCGGGTACGCGACGTGCTGCCACGGCGACGACTTCTTGACGGCAGGCACGGCTTCCGTGGGCGCCCACGATGAGATCGACCGGGTGTTGACGAATAACTTCGATGCGAAGATGTTGTTTCGGATGGGGCCGCCGGCGCACGGTGCACTTAGCGAGGGCGATCCGCTGGACACTTGAAGGTTTCGAATGGGGGGCGAATCCCAAGCATGTGGACGATCTCCTGGTCCTGGCAGGCTTCAACGAGGATTCGAAAGGTGCACCGTCGTCTAAATCGACCGCGGCCGGCAGGCGCGACGGGGGCGACGACCTGGAGGGCGAGGCCGCGACCGACTTCAAGCAGGACGCCGGCGCCGCGCTCTACCTGTCCATCGACCGCCCAACCGTCCAGTTCGTCGCGTCGCAGGTGATGGCCGGGATGAGCATGCCGACTTCGCGCGGCCTGCAGCTGCAGCGCGTGGCGCGCTACGCGCTCAAGTACCCGACGGAGGTGCGGCTCTTCAAGTGCCAGAAGGAGCCTGGCGGCCTGTGCGTCTACACGGACACGGACTGGGCAGCCGACGAGCTGACAAGGAAGTCAACTTCGTGCAAAGTGGAGCGGTACGGGGACCACATGTTGGATTGCAGCGTGGCCAAGCAGGCGACGATCGCGTCGTCCAGCGGCGTGGCCGAGTTCTACGGCATCGCGCGCGCGGTGGCGATCGGGAAGCAGACGAGCCAGATCCTACGCCAAATGGGCCTGGCGAGCGACCTGGCCACGGCGTCAGGCAGCTCGGCTGCGCGAGGCATTGGCGCCTGGACGGGATCCGGCGCGGACCGGCATTTGGCGATCAAGGAGCTGTGTGTGCAGGAAGCACTGAGGAACAAGGAGTTCGAGCTCGCGATCGTGGACCCGCCCCTGAACTGGGGCCGACATCGGCACGAAGGCGCATGCAGCCGAAGGTCAGCACTTAGCGAGGGCGATCCGCTGGACACCTGAAGGTTTCGAATGGGGGGCGAACCCCAAGCAGGTGGAGGATCTCCTCCTGGCCCTGGCAGGCTTCAACAAGGATTCGAAAGGTGCACCGACGCCATCGTCTATATCGACCGCGGCCGGCAGGCGCGACAGGGACGACGACCTGGAGGGCGAGGCCGCGACCAACTTCAAGCAGGACGCCGGCACCGCGCTCTACCTGTCCATCGACCGCCCAACCGTCCAGTTCGCCGCGTCGCAGGTGATGGCCAGGATTGGCATGCCGAAGGTGTTGCACGGCCTGCAGCTGCAGCGCGTGGCGCGCGCTCAAGTACCCGACGGAGGTGTGGCTCTTCAAGTGCCAGAAGGAGCCTGGCGGCCTGTGCGTCTACACGGAAACGGACTGGGCAGCCGACGAGCTGACGAGGAAGTCAACTTCGTGTAAAGTGGAGCGGTACGGGGACCACATGTTGGATTGCAGCGTGGCCAAGCAGGCGACGATCGCGTCGCCCAGCGGCGAGGCCGAGTTCTACGGCATCGCGCGCGCGGTGGCGATCGGGAAGCAGACGAGCCAGACCCTACGCCAAATGGGCCTGGCGAGCGACCTGGCCGCGGCGTCAGGCAGCTCGGCTGCGCGAGGCATTGGCGCCTGGACGGGATCCGGCGCGGACCGGCATTTGGCGATCAAGGAGTTGTGGTTGCAGGAAGCGCTGAGGAACAAGGAGTTCGAGCTCGCGATTGTGGACGCGCTCCTGAACTGGGGCCGACATCGGCACGAAGGCGCATGCAGCCGAGTGGTTGGACTCCCTGACAGTCAGGCATATTTCGCTTCGCCGCCTGTGGGAGGGGCTGGAGGCGGCGATTGCACATGCACTTTGCATTCGTTGAGCCCGTACCGCGGAGGGGGACGCGCACTCCGTCTGGCTGATGGTCGCGGGTAGCACCGCACCTCATCCGGAAGATAATGAGTTTTGATGCGACGGTCGCGGGTAGCACCGCACCGCATCCGGAAGATAATGGGTTTGATGCGACGGTCGTTTTTTGCACCGCGCGGCATCTTGACAGTGACGCGTGTGATGCAAGAGCTGCGGGTAGCAGCGCGCCAGCGCAGACGACCCAGGAGGGCGCGGGCAGCACTGCCCCTGACCGGGAGGTCCACGCCTAGAGTGCCCTGGGGTGACCTTGCGGGCCATGTTGGGCCCAAGGCGGCGGCCAAGGGGTCTCTGTGTCCGGCTGGTCGCGGGCAGACCCGCACTACTGAGCCTCGCCACGCACGCCGGCAGGCGGCGAGACGTGAGCCTGGCCAAGGAACCCATCTCGACCAGGCGGGAGCGATTCTGAGTGACTGGTAAGAGTAGGGACAGACCCTCGGACGAGGGGAGGAGGCGATTGCAGGAGCTTTGGCATCATCTGGCTGCTTTCTTGCATGTTGAGCTCCCTGTCGTTTGGCCCATGATTGGCTGGCAGCGATGGAGGGGCGTCGAGCCCACATGCTTAATGCAGACATCGACGCAAGCGGTGGGAACCCTTAGCCGGTTGAGACATGGCTTACCCCGCAAAGTGGGATAAGGCCTCTGCGTGTGTTGTGCAAGCGTTGCAGCGTGGCGCGCTGTAGTGGTGGACGGTTGTTGCGTGTTCCCAACAGTTACACGGAACGCAGCATCGATGGCAGATGGGCCGGCACGCCCGACATGTAGCATCAGTCAGCTTGAGTGCATTCGCGTCACGACTGGCGTCTGGCTCAGTTCCCTCTCTCTTGGCAGGAAAAACATCACGTCACCTCGCCACCTCCTCGCTCTCGTTCAGATAGTGCCCCGAATGCGGGGGGAAGATATTCTCGCTGGTGTTGATGAAGCGGAGGGATTGTCTTCCCTCCGCACCGGGCGCTCTCTCTCTTCCCCCCCCCTCTGCAGCCATTGCGGTTTTGAGCTGCGCAATTCCCCCCAGTCGCCCTACTTTCCGCCCTTGCCTGAGGCGGGCGGTCTGCCCGGAGAGGCTGAACTCAGCTTTTCGCCACATGAGAAAGGCGCCCCCTCGCCACCTCCTCGCCCTCCTTTAGATAGTGCGCGGCGCGGAATGCGGGGGGAATCAAAAACGAGCCGGAAGGAGGGAGGGCGACGACGACGGCGAGGGTGACCGCGGCCGCGACGGCCATGACCAGGACGACCACGACCTCGATCACCACCACGACCACGATGGCGACGGCGACGACGACCCGCCCCTGGGTTCCAGCTCGGGACGGCGAGGTCGAGGAGGAGGGGGAGTGAGATAGGGTATTCAGGATGCGGAGGAGGAGGGCGACGAGGAAAAGGAGGCGAGTCAGAGAGCAAAGGTGGTGCCGATCAGCGAATTCGAAGGAGAAGTTCGGCAACCGCCCTTTCGGCACTTCCGAATGTGCAGTCGCAGTCACACGGGGGCCTTGGTGATGAACCCTCCTCGTCGTCCGCTTTGTCGTCACCCCCTCCTCCCTCATTCCATCCTCCTCTCCTTCATCTCTCCTCCCTTCTCCTTCCTCCTCATCCCCCTCCACTCATCCACTCATCAGCTTGCCTCCCCCCCACCGTCCTGTTTTGTCACTCCTCCTCACTTTCTTCCGTCCCGGATCGTCGTCCCCCCCTTCTCCTTCAGTCTTTCCAGCCTCCACTTGCCAATCCACCGTCGTCCCTCCCTCCCCCTTCGTCCTCTCATCGTCCTCCTCATGCTGGACTTCGGATTCTGCTGGACTCCACTGGGGGCGCTGCAGGAAGCTTGGTTTCTGTCCTTGTCGCCCTGCCGCACGCCATGATCGGCGCGGCACGATCGGAGTTGATGCTCCGTCTCATCCCCCCTTCATCGCTGGAGGGGGGAATGCGGGAAGAGGAGGGAGGAGGAGGGAGGAAGGACAAAAGGAGGAGGGGGTGTGGGAGACGCGGCACGTCAACGCTTGAGGGTTCTCGTCGCTCCTCGCGGGAGTCGGGGGGGGGGGCAAGGAGGACTGTAGGGAGGGGGAGGGACGCGGCACGCCAATGTTGTAGTTCTTATGTACATCTTCCTCACATTCCTCGTAGGGAGCGGGAGGAGGAGGAGGATAGGGCAGTCGGAGGGACGTGGCACGTCAAGATGTGGGATTCCTCCGCCCGTTTGCCCCTAGTGAATTGTGGGAGGTGAAGGTCTCGAGGAGCCCGTACCCTTGCCTCTACGCCCCCCGTTCCCTTTCCGAGCGCCAGGCCGAGCCTGGAGGGAAGAACGCCAAGACTTCAGGCCCCCCTTCTCTCTCTTTCTCTCTGTCCTGGTCTTCGTTCGCCCCGATCCCATTCCGCTGGGGCATCGTCGCTGCGACAAGCCGTCTCTTCCCCCTCCGCCTCCCCCCTCCCCCAGCCGCAGGAGCACTGCCGCCACTTCGTGGACATATTCGACGATAAGCGCAACGGGGTGATCACCAGGCGCCCGATCCCCGAATGGGGAGGGGATTGGGGGAGGGATGGAGGATGGAACGGACCGCCGCCTGCGCTGCTACGAACCAAGGTGGCAAACGATTCGGGGAATCGCTCGGCGGTGGTAGTGACAACGAATTGCCGCGTGAAGACCGCGCTAAAAAAAAGCAGCCGCGCCCCCAGTCGTCGTGGACCCCACCCCCTTTCGCGGGAACATTTCGGGGGGAACGCGATGAATGGGATACGTTTTAGTAGCGGTCGGAGATCCTCTGGGGGCGTGTTGGGCGCCTCTTGGGAGCGATTTGGGTACCTCTTGTGGCTTCACGGGGGCCTCTTGGAGGGTCATTGGGCCGTCTTAGGCCACCCACCACCTTTTGCGACGCATTCGGAGGCATCTTCGGCGACATCTGAGATAGCAGCACTGCTCCCAACCAGCATGTGTTGTTGGGTCCTCGTCCTGAAGAGACGGTGCCGCGCGCTCCGTTCCTCCCTCCGTTTTGCCTTCCTCCTTCCTCCTTCTCCCTCCTTTTTCCCCCTCTTCCTCCCCCTCATTATCCTCCTCTTCCTCCTCCTCATTCTCTTCCTCATCCTCATCGTCCTCCCCCTCCTCCTCCCTCCTCCTGCATTTCCTCGTCCTCCTCCTCCTCCTCCTCATCCTCGTCCCCTTCCCCCTCCTCATCCTTCTCTTCCCTATTTCTCCTACCGCTCATCCTCATCATCCTCATCCTCCTCTTCCTCCTCCTCCTCCTCCTCCTTCGTCATCACCATAGCCATCATCATTACCATCCAGCCCATTTCGGCGCACTCCTCAAATGATTTATGCCCCCGAAGGGAACCCCACTTAAGGCCCCGATGGCTTCGCCCGCATTCTGGGGGCGGCCAGTTCTGGCGCGCCACTCTCGCGGTTCGTGGCCCCATAGGAAGTTCCACCAAATGCCCGAGTGGTTGCGCCCGCATACTTGGCACACCCCACGTCGGCGCACCCTTCACACGGTTCGTGGCCCCGTAGAGGGCTCCACCGAAGGCCCCAGTGGCGGCGCCCGCATTCTTGGGGCATCCCATTTCGGCATATCCTTCGCACGGTTCGTGGCCCCGTAGAGGGATCCACCTAAGGCCCCAGGGGCGGCGCCCGCATATTTGGGGCAGCACATGCTGGCGCATCCCTCACACGGTTCGTAACCCCATAGACAGTCCCACCTAAGGCCCCAGTGGTTGCGCCTGCATACCTTGGGCATGCAATTTCGGCGCATGTCTCACACGGTTCGTCGCTCCATTGGTAGTACGGATGGGTGTGGCAGGCAGAAGTGGGAGAGACAGGGGTGAAGGGAGGGATGGGGAAGACAAGGAGTGACCTGAACCCGTTTACGCGTTCTACGCTATTCAACGGTTGTCTGACGGCCATTCTATGGCTGCGAACGGGGTGAAACGAGGGGTGGGGGAGACAAGAAATGGCCTGAGCCATTCAATGGTTATCTACGTACTTAACGGTTGTCCGACAGCCATTCTGCGGTTGCGGATTGTCTCTCTAGATGTTTGTGCGTTTGTTGTTTGGGTTCTCTTTTTGTCGAAACACAACCGAACACGAAGATCCGCATTTTTTACGTATGTCTATACAAGTGTGTATTCATAGAGCCCCGATCAAGCAAACACGGGGCACAAGACGGTTATGAGTGTTTCCCCAAGCGGCGCTTGCCTTTATAGTGTCCTTTGTTAGCCTACATGAGGAACTCGATGGGTACGCCCGGGGTCCCGGCTGAGGAGGAGGCGGAGGGGGAGGGGCAGGGGCAGGGGCAGGGGCAGGGGGGGGAGGAGGAGGAGGAGGAGGAGGAGGAGGAGGAGGAGGAGGAGGAGGAGGAGGAGGTGGTGCCCGGTTGGTGGGCGCCCGTGGGCGCCTCGCGGACTCCCCGTGCTGGGGGGGGGGGTACGCCGAGGCTTCGCCCGATGCCCGCCAGCGGACGCTTTGTGGGCGCCCCGCGCTGGGTGCGGACGCCGAGGTTTCTCCTGGTGCCCGCCCGCGGGCTCCTCGCTGGCGCCACGTAGCTCACACCGCACAGCTCGCACCACATAGCTCACGTCACACACCACATATAGCCACCACCACGCAGCACACACACCACATAGCGTACACACCTTGGCTCAGATCACGCAGCTCACACCGCATGGCTTACACGGCACAGTTTACACCATATAGCTCACACCACATAGGTGACACACACCACACACACCACACAGCTCACACCACATAGCTCACACTACATAGCTCAGGCAGCGTCTATCCAGCTCCCTGCGGCAAACCTCGCCACCGTGTTTGTGCAACAGCGCAGCAAGAGGGAGGCTGAGTGCAGGAACGGCGCAAGAGAAGGAGAAGCAGGAGGAGCAGG